TTTATGTATAACCACTTGTTATTTGTTTTTATTTTAATTTTTTCTAATTACCATAATTTTCTTCAATTCAATTCTATGTTTTACGCGTGCGCGCAGCCGTGGGCATGTGCGCGTGCATGACTGCTGCGTGTGTGTTGAGTGTGTGTGGCGTGTGTGTTATGTTCTATATATACCTATGAAATTTCATCGATTATTTTTAAAAATAAAATTGTAATTGCACATCTAATGGATTTTAAAAATATGCTAAAAGAGATTATCACTACCGGAGAGAAAACTCCAGATATATTTATCTCAGTCTCAACTCTAGGATAAAGACGATTTTTTTTTTTCATATTATTTATATAGATATAAACGAGTATGTACTCCGCACTTTGGAGATTTGAAATTTTATAAATATATTTACACATATATACATACAGTATTGTTATTTACAATATATTTACATGCATATATACTAAAATACATTGATGTTATCTTGCGCTATCATCTTGTTTTTTTTCAACTGTAGGACATAAAGGTTAAAAAAAATGTTAGTAAATGTAAATGTTAAAGAAGTTAAAAATATTTATTTTATATAGTGTAAAATAAAGATTTTAGAAATATTTATATTACTTTATTTTTAGATGTTTTTCAGATTATTTTGTTGTTCTTGATTCATGGCTCAAAATGTGGAAGATTTTTAGATATACATTTAAATTATTAGACAATATTATACTGAACATGTTTTACCTTGTGCTTGATTTCTTGGGCGTTGGAGTTTGTGCATCAAATGTGGTAGGTGTTAATATCTATGGTGTTGGTATTGGTTGCGGGTTGAAACAAAAAAAAATTGTTTAAAATTCTATTTAAAATAATATAAATGCTTACCATATATAATTAATATAAAATAGTAAACTTGATTTACCTTTGTGGATCTTCTGTTGCTGCAGTTGATAATTTTGTTACAATTGATAATTTTGTTGGTGATGATGGAACGTGGATGTCCTCAAATATTTATAATTCTTTCGTGGTTGTAGTTGTAAATGTTTTTTATTAAAAGAAAAACACTTACGGTAATTGCACAAAATCATAGGTCATATTAAAGTATTATATATGTCACATAAATTATAATAAGTTTTTCGGTGGTTAGTATTAATTAATCCGAGATTTGTGAAAGATTTTTAGTTATAATTATCACGTAAAGTACTTTTCTCTTTTAAAAAAGATTGTTTTGGAATTGACGCTTCTGTCCCTCAATCAGTTTTAAGTGTCAAAAGCAAATTTTTCAGAACGGGGATGGTGGGCTATTTCATATTCTGTTTAAATTGGGCTTTGAAGTCTAACCATCAAATTTGCACGGAAAGCCCAAACCCACTTTTTCTTTATTTTTTCTTCTTTTTTCCCTTTTCCTCCTACTCTCTTTCTTTTACAAGTGGCTTTTCCTTTCCTTCTCTCCCTCACGCTAACGCTCTCTGTTTCTCTCCCTCCCTCTCAGTTTTCTCTCTGTCCCTCCATGAGAGGTGCCGTCCAAGCTTCTAAATAGAGGGCTTTTGCTCTATTTTTCATGGAAAATTCAACCTCAAAGTTGAGTTCAAGATTTGAAGATGGATTTCCATGAGATTTCAAGAAGATTGAGGTAGGGTTTTCTCTTCTTTTCTTTTCTAATCCGAAAATTTGATTTTTGTCTTGATGTTTTCCTTCACTTATTGGTTAGATTTTGTGGATTTTAATGTTACAACTTGATTTGGTTTTAGAAAAGTTGAACCTTGAGCTTCCCTCCTTAAAGCTAAGTTAAAGGTTCCTTGTAAATGTGTTAAATTTCAGCCAAGCCCACATTATTTTCGAATTTAATTACTTGTATTGGCTGCATGTGGACATGGGTGATATGCTTTTAAATTAGGTTCAAGAATGAGTTTGTAGAGAGGAAATTCCATCACATATGGCTTGATAAGAACATGCAAACCTCTTTTTGTTCATTCGGATTTGTTTTGAGAATCTTAGAGTTTTGTTGATTGTTGTTGATAGTAGTGTGGTTTAGAGGAGCTCCCTTAGGTCTAAGTTGTGAATGAAGAGTATTGAAGGTTTGATGAAAGAGTTTTATGCCTTAGGTGTTCGATCTATGATTTTCATGACGATCCCAGCAGCAACCTACAGAAAAGTATAAAACTGTACTTACTTGATGAGTTTTTATTGTTAGGATCTTAAACTAGACATCCTAAGCTTCATATAGCCGCAAGAATCACCTCAAATGGACAAGTGTAGCTCAAATTATGCATTTTTATAGGTTAAGCATGATTTTTGAAAATTTTGCAGAAAAATAGGTACGTTTTCATCTGATAGCTCTTTGGAAAGCCCTAGATATCTACTTCGATTAGGCACTAATTTTGTAATTTTTAGGGTTGTGTAGAATATTTTATGATTATTTCCGTAACAGCCGCCAAATCTGTTTTTTCTAAGAATTGATAAAATAAAAAACTGAGACCCCTACTTTTTAAAATAGGATTGCTACATCTAAACCACCATTACTATCATTTAGAGCATGTTATTAGTGACATGTGGGAGTTAGAATCACATCATTTAGAATTTTGTAACCCGAGTTGTGCGCATTGAAAGTTTCATGTAAAAACTTCCTAAAAGCTGTTAAAACTAGGAAACAACAGAATTTTGATTTCTTAAAATATGTTTTTGAGGTATTTAGAGAGTTCGGATCTGGACATATGATAGCTCCCTAGAAAGATTTATGTGTCTACTTTCTTATGGAGTTAATATTGGAATAGTTGGAGACTTAGATAATAATTTATGTATATTCTCATTAAGGTGGACGAATCTTTCACTTTACTGGATTTATGAAGAATATGGATTTGAGTTAGAAACTGATTTATGACTGAACGATTCATATTTTGAAGCCTTTGTGATTGTCTAACATTAAGTATTAGGTTCTAAAGTGAATACGATGAAAAGTGTTAAAAGAGGATAAAACCAACATTTGATAGCTATGATATCTTAAGGAGATTTAATGGATCTTATTGGAGTACGACATTTTTGCATTGTCGTTTATGCATTCATGGATATTTTACAGATTATTGAACTTAGCATGTTCATTTCTTGAGTTTTGATCTTGTTTGAGCATGAGATTGCATTTCTCTTCCCTTTTGGACATATTACATGGATTTCCACTTCTGGGTGTAAAAGTCGGTTTTCACCGATGTTGAGACTTTAAAAATGAATCTGAAAAATATATTTGTATATATATATATCGATTATATGTATGGAAAACCTTTCCGAAAACCTAACTTTCGCGAATCATGGTTTTCGAAAGTGAATTTTAGAAAACAGATTAAGTCTTAAGTGGAGAGAATTCGAGCATAATATATTTAAGTTTTGAAACGATATCTAATGAGCATTTTAGATAGTTGACTTAAGCATGATAGCCTAGAGATTGGGATATGGAGATCGTGTCCTTTGGGGCATATCCTGAAACCCGTACGGGCCACTTTCATAGTGGTGATATGAAGGCTTTGCACTAGATTATGTATCGGTACTTTGAAAGAGCATTTCAAACTACTGGCATATGATCTTTATCTTTCTTCTATCTACAAATTACTTAGATATCCTAGTGTCTAGTAGAATTACAAATACCCAGTATTTGTGGACTACTTAGACACCAGGTACCTTATTACTTTTGAAATGGATTTATATAGTATTTTGAAAGAGCTTTCAAATACTTGATTATCTGCTTAACTCTACATTTGACCGCACCAGTCATGATTAGGTGTTTTTCACATATTATCATTTCCTGCATTTGAGTTATGCATTTTATTTTCGATGGTGTCCAAGTCTTTATGATTATTTCACCTTCCTTATTTTATTGTCATTATCCATTTTTCCCTCCTTATTGGGCATTTGGATCACCCATGCTTTAAATGTTTTTCCCCCTCCACAGTTAGCAGCTTGATTTGCAGCGCGGTTAGTTGACGCCGATGGATTAAAGGCTGGAGATTCGAGGTGATTCGTTTTATTTTGAATTTACAGTTTTTAATTTTGAGTTGTTCTGTATTTTGTGTGTATAAACTGTAATGATCGGCATTGTCCTAGAGTTGTATTATTTTGAGAAAAATTACAACTTTATGAATTGTTATAGTATTATTCGGAAAAGAAAAACTCCGGAACAATATATTTTGATATTTATATATTTATTTTCATAATTTTCGTTAATTAATCAAATTTAATTAAATTAATTTTCTTTAATTAAATCTTAATAATCACGGTCTCATCTCTAAGTCATAATATATATATATATATATATATGTGTGTGTCTCTGCAAATAGCACCATGCAGAAAAGATATTACACATACACCCAACTATACCATTAATTAGCCATTAATTCTCAAAAGCACAATACTCTTGCATCGTAACTTCATTTTCTAAATTAATGAATGGACTGCCACCTCACTACAACAGTGTTGAATTCAATTTGGTGGCATTTATATCTGTATATCAAATGAAAAATGAAACGCCGAAATGAAATGATAATAATAAAACGAAGTTTAAAAAAAATTAAGGCGTGACATCTAATCCATTATCGACAACTCCGATGGATTCCACTTCCAAATACCCAGCTAACGACGGCCATATTCTTTTAAATTATTTTTTTTTAAAGATAATTGTATTCTAAATCAATGAAACAAACACTATTGACTCAAATGACTCGTAATACGAAAAAATAGAAAAAATTTTAACTCCGATTACTAATTGGATCCGCCGGCAAATTCTATTGAAACTCGGAGGAGGTAATGTACACAGAGTTCCAATGACAGAAAACTGAAAAGGCATACCAACTATCAAACACACAAAAAAATATTTTAATAATATGTTTAAAATTAATGGAGAATTCCAATCGTCCGAGACCAAAATACCTAATATTACACAAAGAATAAGCCATGACACTGCAAAAAACCAACTTAACCATATGCTATTAAATTATGCTTCAAGGATGTCCATTCTCAATAAATCAATAAATGAAAATAAGATAGCATATAAGAAAACAAAAATAGAGGGGAAAAAAGGATCCAGTCTTCCATTTCATTTATATTTAGGTAGAAAAAAACGCTCTAATTCAAAGAGCAGCAAATTCCTCTACTCTACACATTAGGCTAAACTGCTATATAGTGCCATCTTACTTCACCTTCTAGACACACTCTTCACAAACGCAGACCAAAAAAAAAAAACAAAACAAAACGAAAGCTTTTCTGCAAAAATCAAGAAGAAAGGCATCCGATCTTATGTACATTATTTATCAGCGCACGCTTCACAAAAATCCTCATACGACGCTTCGTTTTGATGGTTTTTCTAAAAGTCATTTAGATCAGTCGCTCGTCTTGTCCTCGGCCGCTTGTTATCCATGGGTGTCCTGCACATAAACAAGGACCACATTTAGAACAAATATAATTGTATATACTAAATAAGTGATGAAAAATAAATTTTGGATTTTTTAAATTTTAAATTTTAGATTTTGTGCTTATATTTATCTGAAAATTTACACAAACTCCATGTGCAGGACTTTCTTTATCTATTTCATTTTCTTAATTTCTTTGGCTAAAACTAAAAGGAAGACATTTTATAAACAAGTACAAACAAAAATGATATGAAATTTAAAGTAACAAAATTATTTTTCTTTCACGTATATTTCTTAAACCACATAAGTTTATTTTTAAGAGCAAGGAGCAAACAAAAAGGATAGATAATAATTGAAGAAAAAAATTAGCGTAAAAAAAGAACTGAGGATTAAACAGAGAAATTGCTTACTCAGAACTTGCTCCGCGGAGAATCTTCTAGAAACATCCTTGCAGAGCATCCGCCTGAGCAGATCCTTGGCCGCCGGCGACACCGAGTGGAAAACCCTTGACGGAAATCTCAGATTCGCCCTCAGCACCGCCTCGAAAATCTCCACTACCGACTCGCCGTAAAACGGCGGGAAACCGGCCAACATTATGTACAAAACAACGCCGGCGCTCCACACGTCGACCTTCTCGCAGTACTCCCTCCCGGCGAGCACCTCCGGCGCCACGTAGTACGGTGTTCTGACGATCCCGCTCATCGGCTCACCGCGGTCCTTGAAAGTCTCTGCCGATCCGAAGTCGGCAAGCCTCAACCGGTTACGCTCGTCGAACAAAATGTTGTCCGGCTTGATATCGCGGTGCGCGACGCCGAGCCGGTGGCATTGCGCGACGGCTTGCATGAGCTGCGCCATCACGGAGGCGGCCTCCGGCTCGGAGTAGACTCGGCGCGTGACGCGGCTGTGCAGATCCGGTGCGTCGCAGAGATCGAGGACCATGTGGAGGTAATCGTCGTCCTCGTAGAGATCGTGGAGGTTGATTATGTGAGGGTGAGGGGAGAGAAACCGGAGGATCTTCGGCTCAGAAAACAGGCATTGCGCATCGAGCGAATCGCCAGCGGAGATCAGCCGCTTGTCGATGGATTTGACGGCGAAGAAGTCGCCGGAATTGGTCACCGGAGAGCACCTGTAAACGACACCGAATCGTCCTCGGCCGATCTCCTCCAAAACCTGGTAGTCTCTGTTCAGTGCTTGGCTCATTACTTTTCCAATTCCTTTCTCTCTCTAGAATTCCGCTTCTTTCTCTCTCTTTCTGTTATTTTTGGTCCCAAATTTATGCTTTTAAAGCGTGGTATCCGAGTTTTGTTTTCCCATCAAGGAAGGAAAGGTTACTGGAATGTTTTGGGGAATATTCGATCGAAACAGTCGAGCTAATGAAGATTGCCATCTGGGAGATCCAACGGTTGAAGATTTGTGATTGGGTAGAATTACGGTACTGCCCTTCCGTACTAACTGGTGTCTGTTAGGATTTTCTTTTCCACCTTGTCCTTTTTCGTACGGCGAATAGATGACCTACATTCTGTAGTCTGTTATTGCCCTTACTTTCTTTAATAATTTACCATACTTACCATTTTCGACCTTGTCTTCTATCCATAATTCTATACTTTCAGCAGGCATCTATGCTAAAAATTAATCGTTCAGTGTATTTTTTTAATCCAATTTAATTTTGATCACATCTTACACTTAAAAACTCACTTAATAATAGAAAAATAGTAGGAAATAAGTCAATATAAAAAGCTTAAGAAAGTATATAGGCTAATTTTTAGTTATAAAAATTAATAGGTCATAACTTGTTAAGTTATAGTTCATAATCAGATAAGTTATGGACAAACTTGTCAAGTTATGGTTCATAACCAGACAAGTTATGGACGAAAACAGTAATTTGGCCTATTTATTAACTTATGTAAACTATTGGCCTATTAATTTTAATTGATCTCAAGTCTTGACCTATTTTTCTCTTTCTCCCTTAATAATAGAGGAACTCTATCAAAAAAAATCCCTTCAAATTTTTACACAATTTATTAAACCACATGTAACTAAAAGAAATATAGCTCATACTTTCATCAATTAAATGTTTAGGGTTATTGCTGACAATTTGAGTCAAGACACGATAATTTAAGTTTAGGTCAAAGCATATTAAACCCGCTAAACACGATTAAATAAAGTGTCAACTTGACATGAATCTTTCAACATGAAATTAACACGCAATAACCTATTTATTAAAAGTGTAATAAATAGGTTGATGTAAATACGACCTACTATGCACCTATTTATAACTCGTCTTATAAAAATATGTAAAAATTGATCTTGTTTCTTGTGTCTATTGTTGTTTATTGTTTTAGTACTTTGTTTTATTGTTTTAAGTTTACTATTTTGCTAAATTGTTGCTTTTTTAAATTTCTTTTAAATTTTTTACCTTAAAAATGGATTTCAGTAGGTGGATTATTAATGTGTTTAAGGTTAACACAACATGGTTAGTCATGTTGTGTTCATGTCAACCCTTTAATTAAAAAGTTGTGCTTAAGTTTTATCTTCTGACACGATTATTAAATGGGTCGAGTTCATCTCAATTAAAGGATATGACACAACATGAACCCGACACCGTAACACAAATTGTCAGTCCTAAATAGGTCGATAAGATGTATAACTTCAACCTCATTATAGACAACAAGAATCAATTAATAAATATTACGTCAGAGTCCAGTGGTGGTACTTTTTATTTTAATTAACAATTATTTCCGAATTTCAATTGGCATAGTAAATTCCACCCATGTGAACAGTGACAAAAATCAGGAGGGTTAAAATTTTTTTTAATCAACATTATACTTGTTTGTGAACTTTATAAAATTGAATATTTTATTTTTTAAAATCTAAATAGTTGATTATTATAAAAAACTATTAAAAATGTCAAGTATAAGTTATACATATACCTACTATACTAAAATTAAAACCACTATATTTAAAATAAAATAATAAAAAAAACTCCCCCTCCCCGGTTTCCGTAATTGCACGTGAACATACGTGTGAAATAGAATTTGGAAGAAAGTATGCCGTATGTACGTTCGTTACCACCAAATCTATTTTTGTTATTTAGCACCGAAAAGATTGAAAAAAAAAGAAAGAAAAAGTGTAATTTGTTACTCTCACTACAAGAAAAGGGACAATTATGAAGAGTGAATGCTTGCTACGAAATATATATATATATATATATATATGCAGATAATTCCCTCTGATGATCTCTTCTCTTTCTCTATTTATTTATTTTTTTTCTCAATTTTGTTTTTCTCTTCATCTAAGCGTAGTTATACGTCAATCTTTGGATACTGCATGATAATGGAAAATGATCAGAAGCCGCAGTAGAACATATAATTAATGATAGTGAAATTGAGGAGACGTATTATTTAATTATCCTTATGGTCCTTTTCTTACGTTCATCGATATCATCATAAGCGGAGGTTGTTTCTCCAAAAAAAAAAAAAAGGAATAAAATAAGCGGAGGTTATTTTTTAATCCTCACTTATTCGTCAAACAAGTAAAGAAACTCATATGCTGGAAAACCATGAGTCTAATTACGTTAGCCCATTGTTAATTAAATGGAAAACAATGAGCTATGTGTAAAAGTACTTGGTATACAGTTAACAAATAAACAATGAGCTCTGTGTTTTTTAGCAAAAAAAAAAAAATAATAATAATAATAAATAAAAACTGGGCAAAAATGGAAACCAAATGAGTTAGATATACACATAAAATATGTCTAATCAGGACATCAAATTTTATTGTGTAAAAATGATCCCAATGTCCTGTGTAAAATGGGAGGCCAAGATTTATGCGCAGATTAGTTAGATATATAATTAATGCGCAGGCCAAGATTTTTAATATTGTTCTCAGTTATTTTAACCAATTGTAAAATGGCATAAAAATGCTAAGCTCCATGTTCTTTTTCATTTGGTTAAAAGTACGGAAGAACTTTTAAAAAAGAAACAGTTGTTTGAGATAATAGTGTAATAACTATATATATATATATATATAATAGTGGGTTAAAATTGTTTGAAAATTAAACATAATTTCAAGAAAGAATATATACATTAGCCTAGAGCTAGATACAATAGTCACTTCAAAAAGGCAAGTGGATAATATATATAGGCCCCGTTCACTTCGCCAATTCGAGTTTAGAATTTGAGTTTTGCTACAGTAAAAAGTTCTCAGAAACAGTCACATCTAACTTTTTTACTACAGTAAGAAGCTCTCAGATAACATCACATCTTAACTCGAATTAAAAACTCGAATCAGCGAACTAAACGGGCCCATAGTTATTCATAATAAGCAACGTATATACTTATATATATATTCCTATTACCACATGGCATGGAACAAAATTTTTGTTTTATCACTATAGCTTATGCATGTGATAAAACAAGCCAAAAATGTGTCTCTAGCTAATTGGAAAGTAACAGGTGAATTTAGTGGGACCTCAAAAGATTTGGATTCCATACTTAATTTCAGAAATATATACAAGAGTACCAAAATTCTGTCATTCAATTTGACTTTTGGAGGAAGCTAAAGGGTGTAGTACCGTTAATCTTACTTTTTCTTAAATCCTTAATAAAGCTCGAGACGTTCTAATTTGTTAAGACAGCCCATCAATATAATCAATTTTTACCCGTTTGATCTGGTAAAAATTACATTAAATTAAAAAAATTACGCAGGCAAAAATTTTTTGATATAAAACTAACAACTAAAAAGTAAATAATTACTGATAGCTCTATTTTTTTCAGTTTTACCAGAGAAATTTTTATAAGACTGAATTACAAAGGAAGGAATAATATTGCTTAAAAGCTAGCCACTTGCCAACTGTTAGTGGCAGTTGATTCTTCCATATAATTGAGGTTGAGAGACGCTTTCAATCTAATCCTCCACCAAATTTTCTGACTAAAACGTAAAAAAAAAAAAAAAATGTAAAATAAAATGTCAAAAAGGAAAAGATACAAAAGCTAGGGTTTCGATCTTAATCAAATGAGATCATCTGTTTAATTTTGTTATCTTTCAAGCTTTCTCAATTTCAAAGCGAGAATTTTCGGCAAAAATAGATAAATACAAGGAAAAGAAAAACTACACAGGCATAACAAAGTTTAATTAGTAGGTTTTCACAATTGGTTTTATTCTTGCACAAAAACCCGTATGGGTTGATCAGAAATGAAACACTACCATATGTACGTATACTATAATAATTAACAAATTTCTTTATATATTGAAGTGGTAAATAATAAATTATATACATGTATGTAGTGGTATTGAGTATATCCCTCCTGCGACTTTGAGATATTCAGATGGATTCCCATTCCCTAAGGTTTTCAGAAATCTCTTTTATTAAACGGAAATAGTAGAAAATAAGTCAATATAAAAAGCTTAAGAAAGTATATAGGTCAATTTTTAGTTATAAAAATTAATTGGTCATAACTTGTCAAGTTATGGTTCATAATCAGATAAGTTATGGACGAACTTGTCAAATTATGGTTTCGAGGGTTTGTATGGTAGGTTAGAATATACATGTCTGGTGTGTTTTGCAAGCTAACACGTTTCGCAACACAACTTGATGAATGAACTTGTCTATCCAGAGGATCATTTTCTTTGAGCAAATATAGACCACCATGCATCTTAGCACTGCCAATCACCTTCCCCGAATCCGTTGCCTGAAATTCACACAAGTTTGAATAGAATTTAGTCACACAGTTTAAGTCACAAGTAAGTTTGCTAATTGAAAGCAAATTGCAGTCTAATTTCGGAACATAAAGGACTGAAGAAAGATGAAGATCCTTGGTTAATTCGATTGAACCAGTTCCTGCCACTGCTGAGAAAGACCTGTCAGCAATCCGGATTGCTGACTGACTCGTGCATGGGCTGTAATTGTGGAAAATATTGATGTTTCCAGTCATATGATCGGAGGCTCCGGAGTTGACTATCTAGGGTTTCAGTGTCCTGTTATGCACAATATGGGCAGAGAAGGGAATACCTTGGTGTGCTAATAGGCTGGTTGGTTGTTCGGTAGATGACTGTGATGCTTGAGCGGAGGAGGAAATATTACCGAACAGTTTTTGCAGGGTTTCCAGTTGCTCCCTGGTGAATGGACTGGTCCCTCCATTGTTTTCTGGTGCGACAGCAGCGTTCGCATATCTTTCCCGGTTTGGTTTCCAGTCCGCAGGTTTACCGTGTAATTTCCAGCAAGTGTCTTTTACGTGGCCAAGCTTCTTGCAGTGC